AGGATTCCATTCAGTGTGATCCCCACAGCTCCAAGTATTCTGGAAGATTCTTTGATGCGATTTGTGATTCTTCGATTTCACCCTGACCTCCTTCGTACAGCATTTAAAGATTAGAGGAATCATTACAGTTCTCTATTACGTTTATATTGAATAAATCTGGTGTTCTTATGTTGAGAACGCAATAGATCCGCTTCCCCTCAAAATCGCATGGTAAAACAGCCGCAGATGGACCATAAAGAAGAATATTGGTGGGTGTTTCTAGACTTTGCATACAGCACATTGTAGAGAGGCTAATAGAGCTTTACCTATTTAAAGAGGACTGCTTACTGCATATGTTTTATAGCGATGATTATCACAGCTCAACTGCTAAGTACACATGCCAAATGATGCCAAAACACTGCCCAAAAGAGATACTTGTGCCAAATTGTTTTAGAAAGCATGGTGACAACTGATGCTTAGCTGGAAATGAATCTAATTACACACAAATTGTGGTTGCAACATCAGTTATTCTACTGTTTCAAAAAGTAATTACGGTATGCCCAATCCAAATTCAACCCCAATGTTTTATTACTGCAAAAGGTATGCAACAGTGTGAAGTTACACTGTACTTACCTGGGTAAATACCATGCAACTGCTGTGTAACTGCAGTGCTAAATCATTTTCTCAGTACTGAGTGTGACGAAAGGCACAAAAATGTATCCGTTCTCAAAAGTTAATGCACTGTTCCACTTGCAATTCAGCTCACATAAACACCATGCTCATTGACTTCCATTGAAAATACGTGACCACACCATTCTACATGATGGGGTTGTAATGGAGTTATTTCTACTGTAGCATATTGAGAGACATAGACGTGTATCTGTACCTTAAGGAAGTGCAATTGATTTATTATGTGCAATACTATGTATTTTATACTGTTTTTAAGGCAAAGGAAAGCATTTATGATATAAAATTAAATGTGGGAAACTATCTGGAGTCCTTTTTTATAAATTAAACTAAATTGTTTTTTTTTTTTTTTTTTTTTCTTCCCAGTTAGCTAGTTTCACCAAGGCCAAAAACAAAGTATGTACATGAAAATATTCACAGAGTGTACACTGGCATAACATTGGAGAATGAAGTAGTGCTCCGAGTTATGAAATAACTACCTGAACACCACAGATATTCTATATTATGAACGGATATTCATTTCCAGCTTTCCCTTTTTCCTCCTAACAACCTTGTCTAGGAGGTTTCGGGTGGGTAATTTAGGACGCAGTCTGCATTGTCATGCTAGATATGGAATTTCTGTTTCGGAACCCTTCAGCAATGTTGTAACAAGTCACCAATTCTAAACGCATATATTCAACAATGGATGAGACAGAGCTGATCTGATAATCTAGTCATTATATAGAATGTCTGTGAGAATGCTGGCTCAGGTCTCAGGCAAGGTGCAGCAACAGAACCCCTCGACCGGGGGCTAATACCTGGGAAGAGCAAAGTAATCCAGGCAAAGCACAAAAAATAAAGAATCTGCCCTAACAGTGAAATTCTCTCCTGCAGCATCTTACACAGAGAAAGGTGTATAAACTCCACTGTACTCTCATAAAAAGACTACACAACCCTACACTAGCTTTTGTCTCCCTCCTTTTAATGCTGTTTAACTCTGCGGAACTCAGGCACTCATCTTTGGTTACAGCTATGCCGTTTATTAGCATAAGATTATTATATAAAAATACAACATTCCACATTAAATGTGGTCATTTTTAATTTCAGCACACACTTTAAATATGTCATACATATATTAAGAGTATGAATTATGAGATAATTATAGTATTATCACTTCACATCAGGTCTTTTCCAAGATGCCTGAAAATGTAACTAAGGAAACGAGAGAGAAATTTTACTGGTACAAAAACTCAAAGACCAAGAGTGCATTTTAACTTGTGAACGCATGAAAATGGGTTATGTACTATAAGGTATCAAACAGCCAGGCACGTTGCTATAGCAAGATGGATGCTTTCCAAGCCTGTGCGTCTGCTCTGTGAAACACCGAGTATCACTCATATAAATTCTGCATACAGCGCCAGCGGAGCCAGGAGAGGGGGGGAGGGGGGAGGAGAAAAAGTTAATGCATGAATCTAAGTCTGAGGCTTATCCTGGAGGAGCAAGGTCGGCCACGCCGCAGTCCTGCAGCATTCTGTCCACACTGCAAGAGCGAATTATTACCAGGGCTCGGTACAGGGAGATCGCGGCGGAACAGGGCTGAATTTTAACTGAGCAGGGGTGCCCCTTAAAAAAAAAAAATCAGGCCAGCTTTAGTGCTCATTAAATAATAATAGGCTACTTCTAACACGGTGCTTAAAAGCAGCACTGGCTGCTTGAATTCTTATATGGAGAGCACTGAATTTGAAGAGCTGACTTGCACACAGTATATCCATGTCACTTATCAACAGAAACTGCTATCCATTGTTATGGGTACGAATTAATGGGCATCCAGGCCTGAGGTTCATGCATGTGTGTTTGTGTGTGCATATGTGTCTACCTCTACCTTCCATTCTGTGGGACAAAAACCCAGTACTTTTAAACGCATGTATATTCTTGTGTTTTACAGTTGAGTCTGTATAAACATGAAAAAATGAAATTAAAGTCATAAAATGAATCCCTGCCAGGTTAAAGTGGCAATCCACAGCTGGTGCCGATATTTGCATGTGAAGTATGCATTTAGCTGAGGGGACAGACAGCGGAAGAGATCAAGACAGAGAGAGAAGAAAGTGGGAGAGATAGAGAGATAGAGAACGGAGATGAAGGCTTCATTTAGGGGTCAGGTATCACATCGTCTCAGGCCCCTAGGTCCTTAACCCCAGTAACACACTGAGCATTCCCTAAATAATGCCATGTATTAACCCCGTCCAACCTTTTCAGTTCCCCGCTCAGGCGGGGCTTTGCTAAGCCGTCAGCTTGTCCTCCCTACAAAGGCGGCGTGCACAGCCGGGTAGTTGACTTAAAGAAGCAATCAGATGTTTCACAGTGCCCACTGGGGACGTCGATATGAAGGGCAGGAGCCCCAGACTGAAGCAGAGGTTACAGAGCTCGGCTGATGCATGAAATCAGCTGTGCAGAGGAGACCTGGTGTGTGGCGTTCCCTGTTCTCCCCCCCGCCCACCCCCCGCCCGCGCATCCCCTTGATCTGTACATGCTGTACAGCGGTGTTCTTCCTGCAGAGGAGGGAGGCTGTATGATTACAGCAGAAATTCCGCTGTTAATCAGAGAGCCGTCGGCTCTGCGGCGCGGGACCGATGGGTCACACGGAGCGTCCGCGCTCTGTCTGGAACGCGGCGATCCGGTTCGTTCAGGATTCAAAGCCGCCCGTCATTGGCTGTGAGGGATGAGTGACAGGCCAAGAGGGGCTGCACCTGTTGGGGGGCAGGCGCAGGGCAGAAGGCACGACACAAAGACCCCATTAGTGACCTGTATGACGGTGCAGACAAGCTGCCCCGCTCTCCCTCAACAATGGCATCCCCTTACAGGTGTACAACACCCAGCAGCTCTGCTTGAGTATCTTGTGAATGAGGTGTTTGGTGCTCAGAGCCATTAGTCCATTACTGCACTGCTCTAAAAAAAAGTGCACTTCATGCAATGGCTGTCACATCAACAGCCAAAAAAAAAAACGCACAGACAGAAATATTCCTCTCCTATTTCCGTAGGCCATTAAAAATATGTGTTGATGCTTATATTGTACATCAGAATAGCAGGCAAGGTGCAGGAAAAACAAAACCCATGATTGTATTGGATAGAGAGGGTAGAAGCTGTATTACTTCTGCAGGGAAGCAGATCAAATATGAAGAAGGACCTGCTGTCAAATTGGAGGCAACATAATTTCACTGTTTGGGTGAAAGATGAAGTGAAATGGGAGTGTATATGTGAATTAGCGAGAGGTTATGACATGATGCTAGCCGTGAATGACTGTAATGTGTTTAGGCAGCTGTGCCGTGTTTGAGTGACTGTGCCGTGTATGAGTGACTGTGCTGTGTTTGAGTGACTGTGCCATAGTTGAGTGACTGCGTCGTGTTTGAGTGACTGTGCCATGTTTGGGTGATTGTGCTGTGTTTGAGGGACTGTTTGATTGCCGTGTTTGAGTGACATGTCGTGTTTGAGTGACTGTGCCATGTTTGAGTGACTGTGCCGTGTTTGAGTGACTGTGCCGTAGTTGAGTGACTGTGCTGTAGTTGAGTGACTGTGTCGTGTTTGATTGACTGTGCCATATTTGATTGACTGTGCTGTGTTTGAATGACTGTAGGAGTCCTGCTGTGGATGGAAGGAGGCCAGGCCGAACTCTGCAGACTGCTGTGAGAGACTCGCTGCACCCCACAGCAGCACTGTAGGAATAAACCCAACACCTCTTTGACCAATGACGTCAAACACTGACACCTCTGTGTGCTGGCAAAGGTGTGGTGCAGAAAGAGACAGCTCAAGTAATACCGTGCAGGTTCATGCTTTGCCCTCCTGAATCTCAGTATATTCAGCTTGGAGGCTTCATGCCAGAAAAATGAGTTTGTTTCATGTCTTATAAAACCACAACTTGTGATTTCATGGGACCACTCTCAGTACTAGTGTAATCACACATTCCATGGGTATTAAAGAAGGATGATGTCACAGCTATCAATTAAATGTACTGCCCATGAATCAAGAAGAGAAAGTCCTGCTGTTTAGATCATGTGATAAAGTAATAAGTAATTCCACAATTAATTTATTTGCACAATGAAAAGGATTGTTTCTGAACATCTCACAACAATGAACTAGGTATTCCAGAGAAAATGCACATTGATGTTTCAGCATGTGGATGAGATGCAATCCCCCTTTAGGAGACCAACAGCAGTGTGCACACTTACATTACAGTCATTTAGCAAAGGCTCTTATCCACAGTGACTTATATACAGTATGTTACAATTTTATCCATTTATACAGCTGGATATTTACTGATGCAATTGTGGATTAAGTACTTTGCCTAAGGGTAAGTACAGCAGCAATGCCCAAGTGGGGAATCGAACCAGAAACCTCTCGGTTACTAGCCCCACATCCTACCACTACACCACACTGCTGCCCTTAAATTATTTATTATAGTAATAAATAATAATATCATTATAACAACAACAGATTGGTCCTGTATCAAAAAAAACCTCTGCCAGGTAATTCATACCTAACCTGAACAGCTGCAAATGTGATGTTTGAACAAACCCTTAATCACATTCTGATAAATTGTACCCTTTCCTATTACTGTCCATTCAAAGCCACTGTACAATGAGGGAGCAGTTATCTATGAACCATTATGGCCAGTCATGCATACTGCAGGGCATTTACGAGTCCCGATGTTGACGTTCCTATCACTCACTCAGGCTCATGAAAATGCATGACTTCAGACTGACAGTAAATTTATGGAATGACTGATAAGTACATTAATTGATATCGAACTCCCATTAAATGAGCTTGGTGCATGTGAAAACAGCAGGAGATAATCCATATATTAGATTGCATGAAGGAGATCACATTAGAAACGCTCTCTGCATTGGGTGGCAGACCTTAAATACATAAACAACCCTTCAATAAAAAAAGATAACAGCAGTCAGGAGATAAAGCAAGGCGCACAAAGTAGATATAAACAAGATTTTGATTGCTTTTCCGTCACTTGGGATTTGAAACCCAGTTATTGAGGATTCAACGAGCCACAGCCGGCTGGGGTGAAGATTTTATTTTTGGAGTTGATACTGAGAGACGCTTATGATGAGCTCTGAGTCCTGGCCCACGGAGATGACTGCTCTGTTTGCTGTCCTCAATAATATCTCTGTAATGATCTGGACATGCTACTGCGACCAGCCTGAGGGACACGGCTCAGCACACAGGACTGTCACCGGGCAGACGGGCAGGGGGAGAGAGAAAAAGAGAGAGAGATAAGAGCTCAAATAGAGCATCTAGGTATGCTCTTACCTGACATTAAACAGGATGACTGAAGACAAAAAATTCAAACAGAGAATATAAATAAAATAAATAATTCAAACACAGAATTATTTTATCCAGAGAAATGTTGAACATCAGACTGCCCCATTTAACCTAATTTTTTTTTTAAAAAGCTGCTTTGCATCTTCCTGATGTACCAGGTAAAATGAAAGCCATTTCAGTATTCAAACATCCCAGACTGGTTGACAGTTAACTGAAAATGGTTTATGGCAGAGGTGCACTGCTGCACTGCATACAATTTATGGTCGGGGAAAAAAAAGATCCCCCAACTTACTGTGAAGGCCCTTTGAGCCTGTTATTGCCGGCCCTCTCTCTCGACCGTTTATGTGGACAAAGGCCTGAGACTGAGGCCATCCTGATGAATTATGGAGTCCTGAGCGGGGCAGGTAAAAAGGCAGAGTGCTCCCTGGAGACCCTCCTTTACTATAAAGCACCACCAGGGCTCGATCAGGCTCTATTAGCAGCACAGGCAGGGAGGAAATCCATCTGTATGAACACCGCGGAAAGACAGCTTTATTCATACCTTCAATAATTCATGCCACTGTTTCAGAAACTTCACTGAACTCATTTCCGCTCCTCATCTCTATGGCCAGAAGCCCACATTTCCATTACTGGTTAGTGTTACAGATCTCCAGTCCTGGTGACTCACCGCAGTCTTCGTGAGCGGTACTCGATTATAATGAAAATTTCAAAAAGAGATCTCTCTTTAGTTGTGTTAATTTGAAAACGTTTCAGCCGTTATTCTTTCCTTTTTTTGGTCTTGTTTAATGGTGACCACAGGAAGCATGTCTATAAAAGATCAGAGTGTCTCGCTCCCTCACACACTCACTATGGGGCCGATTCAGACTTAACAGTGCTGAGCAACTCACCTCTTTATTTTTTTTTTTGCACACCTCGCTGATGCCTTTTTCAGTTTTTGGGATTCAGACTTAACTTCTGCACCTGCTTTTTTTTTTAACATGGGTGGTCCAAAGCTGCACACTGTGAATAAATATATCATTTATTTATATGAATAAATGCCTTGGAAAACCCCACCTCCACAGCCAGATCCTGGAGGCTGATAGATTTTCTCATGAAGGTATTAGTCCTCGAAGCAGAACACTGTGGCAAAACACTCACTTTAATCATGAAAGCACAGCAGATACTTCTGAGAAAATAAAGCAGTTCTGGAGGAGCCTTTTCAATACTCCAGGATAAAATTGTATAATTAAAAAATGTCAATATCAATATTTTTTATTTCAAACAGGACAAAACACCTCGTGAAACTTAGTTTTGTTTAAGTTGGTTTTTCTTTTTTCATATTATTTGTTGGGTTACATTAGATCTATAGTACAGTAAAAGCAAACAATACAGATTACAATATTTGAACATGTTGTTTCTCTATATGCAACAGTCAATTTAACATGAAGCAATGAGGAATTTTAGGCATCTGTGTGCCTTAGCATCCCACCTGGCAACTAATTGAAACATATGGACAATGCTGGATAGGAGGTTGTCCATAATCTGAACTACTTAGTTTGTTAAATGTTCAGACCACCTGCTAGCTAGGACAATTGTTGGCTCTCTCAGAGCACTGTGCTCTCTTCCCATTTGCCGTTTGCAACTGTATTTATGCAACGTTTCTGTTATGAAGCATTTCAGCTGGTTTACACATGCATATTTCAAATCTGAATCAATCCCTATATGAGCACCTCCTGCAGTAACAATATTTTACCACTGTAGGCACCAGAAAGAAAACATTAGTAAAACAGTAGTCAGCCAGTATGAACAGGGCTTGTTCTATTCTGTTTTTTTTTTGTTCTATATTCTGTTTTTTTTTCTCTTTTATCTAATGGAGGAAACAGATCCCTGCTCATAACTACCAATGAAAGGTGGCCTGTGGCAAAATGGTGTGCAATGCATCATATGACATGTCATGGATGTTTTTAATTGTATACCGTCCCTGACAAATGAATGAAACAAATCAAAGACCACAAGAAAAAAAAAAATCAGAGTTCCTGAGGGCTCTTCTGTCATTCACTAAGGAGTAGGCTGCATGTGGTCCTTTTTTGTGATTACATATTTTTTTGCATTCATAAAGAGAAATGATGCAGACATACCGAATAAACAAAGAGCAGGAAAAGGACAAGGTTCACTGCACACAGCAGTCAGAATAAAATAAATAAAAATAGGTGACAAATTTTAGATATTTATAGGAGACATATTAAAAACTAAGAAAGCAACAAAACAAACAGAAAATAGCAGCGGTGATCAGAGGACTTGCAAAACAACTGTCCGTAATGTAATTGCACTCAGTTTAAAACGGCTCTTTCAAAGCTGAGTCTTCCATTCCAAGAATAATCAGTAAGTGATATAGCCTTAACGGGTGCAGTACTACCTTCCAAACAGAATACATTAAGGAAAGTATCCAAAATTGTGTCATATCACTGGTATGATGGAAAGCTTAAGTGCAGATTTTTTTTAGCAGCAGTAAATCCAGCTGTCATGATTAACTGATATGTTGAGTCATCATTTAAATGTAACAAACAGGGGTCCAAACCAAAGTTGATTCCAATTAAATTACATAACTCGGAGACTACATGTTTCCAAAGGTAATACACAATTGGACAGTCCCAGAACATATGCATAAGCGTCCTTTTTAAATATTAAAAAATATTAGAGTTAGGGTTTGGGCTAAGTTTCATTATAAAGCGTGGGTATATGGTGCAGTATGCTCTATGAATAATCCTGAAAGTACATGCACTTCTGACTGAACTCTATGAATGAAAAAAATCTACAAATATTAGAAAAATAACAGACAAAAGAGAGAACTTGTATCTTCTCACAATGGTACTAAGATAATGAATTATCTATAATTCATTATACAAATGTTCTGTGTCTATACAGATGTTTCTGAGACTGCCGAATTACGATCTTTCCAGGGAAATCACTCAGTTTCTCACTAGAACAGCTGTAACTGTAACAATAATAAAAGATCCATCACATCTAAATAACTGTTCAGTAAAGTAAAGATCAGTCCTAGAGTCAGCATGACCGAAACCTTCCAAAATTCCAACCTTCTTCCCTTATGCTGCCAGCAACTTGAAACGCATAGCTTTTAACATTGCAAAATGTTGAGAGACAAGTGCATGTAGGATGATGTTCCTAAGTCCTAGCGATGCCAGGATCTGTAGATCAATCATTTTATGTGAGTCTAACTACATTGGCTGCCTCGGCCAAACTTTACCCATTGTACATGGGTTTGTAATATATGGCCTGACATGTCCAGGGGCCAGCGGGGCCGGTAGGATTTCATGACAAGGATTTGATGTCTAGGATTTTTATGGAAAGCTTTAAAAGAAAAGCCGTTGTAAAAAACAAAGGCACTTCATGTCCTAACTATCATTCATTCTGTACTGCTCTACACTGCTCTAAGCATGACAAATTCCTCTGGTAATCTGGAAAACCAGACACCAATAAAGAAAGTGATCATTACATCACAAAAAATATTTTTGAGTGTTATTATCTGAAGTACCATCCTGGCAAGTGTTGAGGAAACAATGGATGAAACCGCATGTCCATGAACAACATCCACAATATACTTTTCTTTATTATTGATGTGTTCTTTTGATTACTAGGAAAAAATAATTGAGAAGACCACAATGTCAAATGAAATATTTTTCTTAATGGTAGTTTCTCACATGGTAGTTTCCAGCTTCCAGCACATCAAAACAGGAGGGGGTAGGCTATTCCTTCAGACCTTGAAAATGTGTAAAATAAAATAAAAATACATCTGCTTCTAATTTATTGACCCAATAACCATATTGCACAACGTATCACTAATAATAAACATAAACATGTACACATCTAGCAACAATAATGATCAAAAATCTGTTAATACCATAGCATCTACACTACTAAAAACTCTGAGAGAATAAAAAATGCATCACATATCTACATTGCCTTGAAAAGGGAGATGAGGTATTTCATATGCAAATGTGATGCTGGTTAATATGATATAATGTTAATTTTAAATTAAACTCCAACTGAAAATGCCAATAAAAGAGGGTAAATGTACCAGGGTAATAAACCAATATATTTTTTATTA